ATCCTGGTCTTCCATAACACCTCAGCAGTGCCACAAACTGATAGCTTCCATGCCACGCCGCATTGAGGCAGTAATTGCTGAAAAGGGGGCCCAAACCAAGTACTGAGTCCATATGCATGCTTATACTTTTCAGAGGTCCGATATTGTTCTATGTACATTCCTTGTTTTAATGATTGCATGTAATATTCTAATTAACTGAGATTGTGGATTTGGGGTTTTCATGAGCTGTAAGCCATAATCATCGCACTCATGACAAATCACAGCTTGAACTATCTTGCTATGCATGTAATGCGTCTATCTCATATACTAGTTTCCCGTTTTACGTTGCATTACTGAAATAAATGAACTTTTGCACGATATTCTAATTTTTCGAGTGTCAACTGTATGTGTGGGTACAGTAAATGGATAAGAGGAAAATCACAGCTAAACACAAACACCGTAAATAATATAAACAGCCCTGGTCCCAAACGGTAAGAGAATTGAAAAGTGGTCTCGTCACTAAGGGGTTAAAAAGCCTGCAGGGACATACTATACACACTGGACCATTAAGCTGTAGTTGTTCTGGTGACTATAGTGTTCCTTTACGTTATCAGTGAAAGAAAGTACATTCATATGCAAACTGAACTTTGCCAACAAGCTCTTAAAAATTAACATTGCATCCGTGTATAAGCCAGCAATGAATTAATATATGTAAACGTAACATGGTAGACATGTGAATACAGGGGAATACACTCTAGGCCTATAAAAAAATAGCCCACTTATATACATTATATTTTTTTCTACTAAGCTTTGATAAGCCTATGTGTGACATGTCATGATTCCCTTTTATTCCAGAAGTTTGGTCCTTAAGGGGTTAAAGGGACACTGCAAGTGCCAGAAATACAAAGCTGTATACCTGGCACTATAGTTACCTCTGCTTCCCCCTCCCTCATGCAGCTGGAGACAGACTTAGTGCTGCAATGTAAACATTGCAGTTTTACTGTTGCAGCACTAAGTGTAATACGAACCCTGCACCCAGCACACTTCAATCAGCTGAAGTGGTCTGGGTGCCTATCGTGTCCCTTTAAATTGACATAATGGCCACCTGAATATGTCTATCACAGATCAGGTTTGAGTAGCAGCATAGTCAGAGAATGTATTGCAGACATATTGCAAGCATTGGTCAAGATCTATCCATTTGCCAGCTTTAATATTATACAATATAACTAGACATGAATTCAACTCGTTTGAATAATTGCAGTTCAGTGGGCAGTTGCTAGTTTGCCTACTGACAGTCCAGCTTCTATCAAATCAAATAATGTTTAAATAGGATATAATATTATTTTAGAGTCTCCCTTCTAAGCCTGTTCAATACAAAAACTGTTAGTGCATACTAATTTATGAAATGGGGTGATAATTGTAGAGAAACTAACAGAGCTAAGATTAGCATTTAAGGGGATGTGGAGTAGAGTAAGCTGAACATTTTTGTTCTGAATAATTCAACAGAAGCACAATTTTATGTTCGGGTGTTTAATAGTTTGAGATTTGAAGTACAAATCAGGTATTTTTAACAAATATTTCCAAGAAAGTTTATATATGGAGAAATTAAAGGGACACTATAGTCAGATAAAAGGCAGTGTTTATATTGCTGCCTAAGGACTCCTGCAGTGGCCATTCCTGGTGTCTTTTTTGGGGTAGTGCTGCGCAGTGTGCAGCACTAATTTTCAGCATCTCCACGCAGGGAGAAACTGAACTTTTCCTATAGAGATGCATTGAATCAATGCATCTCTATAAGGAGATGCTGATTGGCCAGTGGAACCCCCGGGCGGCCTCCTTGGCAACTTTGGAAGCCTGAACCGCCATTTAAACTTAAATAAGTGGCTAATCTCCTAATTTTTATTTAATCAGAAGGGGGAAAACTTGTTGACAGATAATAGGGGAACTTCCGAATGAAGCTCCCAGCTGCCCATATGATTAAAAAAAGATGGTGAACCCAGGAAAAAAGGGCAAATTGGCCTTAGAGACTTGCAGTTGGTTGGACTATGGTTACATGATCACTACATCATAATAGTTGAACTTATAAATATGGAGGACTGTATACTATATAATACAATTTATAATACAATATAAACAAGAATCCAAAATGTTTCTTTGTTCATATCTACATGTGGTTATTGATGGAATAAAATGTTCATTTATGACAAATTAGAATTAATAATTTATTCCAATGCACATACAGAGTAGAAATCTTACAGCAGCAGCCAATACATCCCTTTATTAAATAATATTTAATACAATATATTGCTCACAAACTTATTTGTGCTTCTATGAATTATATTTATTCCTTGTAGGTTAATTAAAGCAAGAATATACAGTAGAAGCCATGCCGCTTGAGCAGCCTTGACAATTAGATTGTTGTACCTACAGATAGTGTTCAGACATCCGTAGCAAGTCGTATTTGTGTGATTAACAGCTCCAGGAAATTACACCAAATCTTCATCCCTGGCGTATGTCAACAATAAGGTGCAAGGACTTCTTCAATGTATCCAGCTACTATAACTTTCATGATTTTATGACCCAAGTGAGAAATGTGGCCTTGGATCTGCACAGAAAGAAAAAACAATCCTAAAAAAGAACATAAATTTATATGATTCTTGAAGCAATGATGTGGCAGAAATCACAACTTTAAACCTTCACAGCTGTGATGTACCAGGAAGCCTTTTTACTACATTTGACCTTGAAAATCTGTATTAAAAATAAAAAAAATCTGTGCAATTTTAGTCCTGAGTTATTGCTCATGTAGTAATATATTTAATATCCTTCAAATCTGTTTAACATTTACTATAAGCTTGCAAACCAACCAATGCACTTTGTTCGAGTGATTGACTTGTCTTATTGGGAATAGTTTTCAGTGCTGGCAGATCACAGGGAATAGTATCAATTATAAAACATCTGTAACTTGCAAATTATTCTTGGATGGCGCTTTTGGGTGCAACTTGATTTTATTTTACGTTACTGTGAGCCAACTCTGAAAGTGCGTAATAATAAATACGTAATTAGGCTAAGGTGCCTGTTCTATTTTAGCAGAGAAATCACAGCTTCTGTGTTCTGTCCAGAAAGCAAAGTTGGGGTCCTGTGCACCCGTGTTAGTCTGAGTAAAATGTGGATGCTATTCCTAATGGAATGGACGTACATGGGTTACAATAGAGTTTATTTTCACGTTAAAAACAGCAAAATTCAAGTTTATTCACCAAATTCAGAATTTAAAGTAAATTTAACATTTACGGCCAAAGTAGACAAATTCTAAAACATCTCCAAGACAGTTATACTTCAGATTTGGCTACTTTGGCCTTAAATCTGAAATTCAGTACAGTGTTACCATTGCGGAGCAGTTAGGACCAGCATTAGAGAAGTGACATTTGTGTCTAGGCAATCCACACTGAACAGTTAGGGTCACATGGCATCACTGTGTGGAACTTTAATCAGACCAAACCAGGTGGCTGCTTGGGGTGCCTTAGTTCCAGTCACTTTGGCAACACCTTTTATTTCAAATATTTCATAGACACTTAGAGCCTAATCATATTTAGAGCAATCGTGTAAAACCTAGAGACTAAAGAGAATGTACGATGATCTTTAATCTGTTATTGATTTCGCACACCTCACATGAGGAAACATGTATAAGTACTAATAATTATTTTCCTTCACAACTGTATTATAAGGTAAACCTTACTTGGCCAAGCTTTGCCTAGTTTACCATCCTTATACGAAAAATTAAAGGGGGGGGGGGCGAGGTGGTAAGTTCCCCAGGACCCTGTGAGATCTTAATACTTCTCTGCATGTCTGCAATAGGTGATAATGACCAGGGTTTTGGAATAGTCCCAAAGGGCAATAGTCAAAGGCAACAAGGTGTCAAAAGAAAGAATAAAAGTGTGGCATGGTCTTAACTGCAGTATTTGAACAAACATGGTGGTTGATGTAAAACCAGCATTTCCCCTGTAGTTTTAGTACAGCTGATCATCCAATTCACTGAGTGGGATATTTGCACCACAATCTTTGTGTTTTCCTAGTAGAAGGATACCAATTTTCGATACTCCTGAAATAAGATACACCATTCAGTAATGAACATGAGTTTATGATGTATTTATAACATTAGAGTGTCCCTGGTGCCTTTTAGCTTTAGGGACAGTTAGATAATAATTTTGTACTAACCTTTTGTCAAGTTGCATCCTGGTCTCTCCACAACTGGCAATCCTCCTTCATTTGAGATCATACAGGAAGATCTCTGGATGGTCTCAGACAATGAAATGCTTCTCTCCATAGAAAAACACTGTGTGCCCCACTGGACACAAGCAGAAATTGCTGGACTGGGTCAACAGGATTCTCCTCATAGATAAGCATTGCAGTGGTTCTCTATAGGGAGACTTAACTGGATTCTGGGTCATCATGGTGCCGAACATGAAGACTGTAATTTTTTTACAGTCTTTATTAGGAAGAGCCTCGAATGACCGATTGGGTAATGTGCACATTACCATTTGACATAAATGACAAACATTAAAAAGTGCAGCATCCAGGCACCATAACCACTAGAACAAGACGTAGTGCCCCTTTAACACTTTAAATGAGTATTTTTTATGAAAAAAAAGCTTAGTAAAAAAAATGTCATTTGTTTGTTGCAATCACCCTTCTGCTGAGGGTGCAACCAATAGCTATTAGATTTACTATAGTTGAATGGCGTCCATTTTAAATTTACCTGTTTCTTTATGACACCAGATTTTATTCGAAGGATGTGACTGATTAAACAATATAAATATGAAAGTGCTATCAAAATAAATCAATGATAGGAAGCAGAACCAAAGTTGAGTTATAAAAAAAAATAAAAAAATAAGTGATTCCTAAATGATATTTTAAGGGTATAAAAAATTATATTTTAGAAAGTTTAAGTTCAATTAAACCATATCTAATTAAAAGTAAACACCAAACATATAAGAAGCAAAGTCTTTGTTTTAAATACTATTTTTATTCTCATTACCACCCTTTCTTGCAAACAAAAACAAGAAGAGAATACCGTTTTAGTACAAAAAAAGGTTACAAATGTATTCCATTTGACCGTAAGCACACAGTTTGTTATGTTAACAACTTTAAGAGGAAAGTTATAAGCTTAGCATTGTTTAACATATTCACATATTGTACCAATAGCTATAAAATTAAAGTTACTATTGTACAGTATCAGTAAAGATTTAATTTCAGAAAAATACATGTATAAAAAGTTTTGAATCATTAAACAGGTCTCCATAAAATATCGTAGAGCAGATCTTTACTGTACATGGCTATTTTGATAAGAGACATATTTAGTCCTCTCACGGCTAAATATATATCCATATCTATTAATATTTAGATCTAGTCTTTAATTGAGTTGTTAAATTGTATTTTAATCATGGCCAAAAGCAGTTGTCCTTCAAATGTGCTGTCAGCATCTACTGTGTCCATCATCTTAACATTAGTCCTAAGGTAAAAAATACATTAAATGTTTGTATCCAAAGCGTTAAGCTGCAATGAATGTGAAAAGGAGGGATATTTTTTAAGAAACACTATGAACAAAGACACATCCTGATCATGATAAAGCTCTTTATATATCTCATAAACACATCTTAAAATGCCAATGATGAAATTCATCCAATAACAGCCACATATAGACCAGGTGTTCAGGATCACACTTACCACATTGTTCTATAATACACTGACAGGAGTATATGCAGACGTGTGAATTGTTTGGAATGCAAAGTGAATTTCAAAGTTTACATCTAACTAACTGACTTGGGTATTTTTTCAGTCTGGCTACTATGGCCTACAAATGAAAGTTAATTTCTGACAACTTACAGTTTATTGAATAATTGTATGTCTGTTGTTTGTTTTGCCTGTGAATTACAGAAATACTAAAACATTTCCCTGATTTTGTCTCTAAGTATTTTTGATACTCTTCCCTCAAAATGTTGACAAATGTAAGTTAGATACCTTGCCATTGAATGCTGTGCTCTATATGGTAGGGGTTCTTGACTTGTGGTCATCAAACCATAAGAAGTACCTCCCACCTTTCAAAAATGATATGAGAGTTTGGAAGGTGAATTTTTAGATAGAATTTTTATGTCTGTGACATAGAAATCAAGGGCAGGAGGAGTGGATATTCAGCTTTTGCATTGCATTTTTTATTTTTGCAAATGGCCCATATTAGGAAGGTCGATATCTGCCTACCTTTTATGTGGTCCTCATCTGTCCAAAATGTTTTAGAACTATTGCACTGTGGAGAGCTTTATTGACTCTCCAAGGTAGTTAGCCACGTTGTTCCTCTTGTCCTTTCTAGCCAAATAGAGAGGGATTTCTGCCCCATAACACAATTAAATATATACAGAACCATATGTAAGAAATATAGACATCTCGTGTTTTAATTTTAAGTTGCATAGAAAACTTAAATTTCTAACTTCTTTTATCAGATTGCCATCATGCTACAGAGATTGTAATTCATCTATTTCTCTCAATTACCTTATAAGTATCTGGGTCCAGTTTAATTAGCTTGTATGATAAATATCCAATTATGGTAAGTAATCAGCTATCACATCAGCAAATGACATATATTCAGTTGAATAAGCACCAAGCCTTAGTGGTTTTTAGAGGGTGTGGGTTTTCTAGAACTCATTGGACAAGATGCGCAGATCCATTAATGAGGTGAGATGACCTTCTTTCGGCTCATGATGTCCTATCATCTGTCATACACTAACAAAATTAAAATCCACTATTTCAATACATAATATAATTACATTGTTATATTGAATTATATCAAATAGAAAGATTTAAAATAAAGCAATACAAATGTATTTGGCAATGCATTACAACCAGGCTGTCAACGCAATATTACCATTTCAACGTTTAATTGTATTGATCTGCAAGAAATAACTATGATTGGAAACACGCCTGGCAACCTTTAAAAAAGACCTTTGATATTTTAAGATCAATGTCCCTTTCAGTGAAATATTATATTTATATATATTACTGATTATGTTTCTCAACACAGATCTGTAGAGATCTGCGTATTTTGATTAGTTACGGTACTTAAATTCTCAGCCAAGTATATGCACACAAATAACATATATAAGTGCCTGTATAGTAAACATGGTATAAAGTACAAGTCTGGAGTACAGTTCTAAAGATGGATCAGCCACCATGGAAACAATGGAATGCTCCTGCTGATTACTGCACTTTTAAAACTTTGACCCACAATTGCTCTTAATACATAACCCCTAATGTTCTTATTAGGTCTATTGTTCCCAAGTTGGCAACATGTGAAATCAAATCATTGTAACCCTCAGTTTGGTTTCTAAGGTGAATTCTATGTGACTAGAGTACCAAAGCCAAAAACAACTTGCATTTTTCTTTTAACTACAATAAAACCTAATTAGCCTTTTACAAACGAATTGCATATAATGCAATTGATATTGTGTTAGTGCTGGGTGTAGGCTTCTAGGAATATATTATAAAACCCTCGGATGATGAAAGGGGATCTGATTACAAATGGTAGCGCATGACTCTAGCTAAAGTTGCTACAATATGTCCTAGCAAAGTGCCATTTTATATTGGTAAGTATTTATACATTTTAAACAGTGATCATTAGAAAATTTGGAATGACTTGACATTCTGCAGATACGAATGTTATCTATAGATATATTGCAGTGAAACGATATAGACCATTATGTTGGTCACTGTACAGTGCATACAGATGTTGGCAGAAATTGCACAATAAATGTGTGAGTTGGCAGTTTTCGCTATATTTTTATAAAAAGCATACTGTTTCACATATGGAATTCCTCTAAGTATTCAGTTATAGGGAACTACGACTCCTATTAACTGTCAATTATTTGTGCTGGAGATCATAGTAGTTGTAGCCAAACAAAAGTTGTAAAAATCCCCCAAATGGCTGGAGTTAAATTGTGAACTGCTCACAAAACACAAGAATATGTTTTTGGGACTTCTGTTTATATTAACCCTTTACTTGAGAGTAGTTTCTTTCATACTTCCCTACAACCACTGGTAATAAAATGATTCATTCTGTAACACACAGGGTTATTCATTAAACCATGAATTGGTAGGAATTCCAAATTATTATTTTTTCTCCCAATTTATCTACAGATCCCAGACAATTTACTGTTTGGTCAATAACCCTGATTATGTGTAGGAATGCAAAAACTGCATTTACGAGAACTTAATTAACAACAATGATTTAAAACATTTAAAAGAGATTCTAAATCTTTTCGGTGAACTTGGTATAGGAAGCATGGCATATATCTCTTGAATTACATGCCATTTTAACCCCTGCGAGGGGGAAGCTTTCTGGCAGTTCCCCCCTACAGAGGTAACATCACACGCAATCCAGAGAGGACCTCCCATTCCTCATAACTGCCCACTTTTTGTGCTTGACCCACAATTGCTTTAGACATAAACCTCTAAATGTTCAATTATACAAATAATATACATCTTGGATTCTCTTAGAGTTGTGTGCTTAGTGTTTGTCTTCAGCATGCAACTCAGCTCACTCTCCTGAGAGATGTACATGAAGCTCTGTACATCAGATAGTTCTGGTCCTGGAAGACTATAGGTGCAGAGATGGAATTTTGCGCATTACAAAATGTGTACACATCTCCCAGGCCACCAGAGCTCTTGGTGGTGACACAGAGGTACAAGCAGGGCTGGATTTACCACTAGGCACAGTAGGACACATATCCTTTAACTAGGTCCTTCTTTGCACTTAAAATTACTTTTTATTTATGTGTTGGTGCTGAAGGTAGCCAATGCCACCAGAAGCAAACTATGACTGATTCTCCAAGTTAGATCAGAATGATTCTCTCTGTCAATAATGCCTAACCTATTTCCACCCTTCTAAAGTGCAGGAGACAGTCTGCTGGCACTGTTTATTACTCTGCAGTTATTAAAAAGAAACTATAGTCACCCAGACCACTTCAGCTCATTGAAGTAGTCTAGGTGCAGTGTCCCTGTCACACTTAGTCCTGCAATGTAAAACATTGCCGTTTTAGAGAAACTGCAATGTTTACATTGCAGTAGTATGTCTGCCACTAGTGGCTGTCTACAGACCAGACTTAAGGTCTCCTAACTGACACTGCATGCCCTCACACTCTGCATGAGAACATCCAGTGTCAGTTAAATCCCCATAGGAAAGCACTGAAGCAGGGACAGCCTAAAGTGCTCACAGCGCACACCACGTATGTGCACGAGCCCCCCCAATGGATGATATCTGAGGAGACTGAGTGCCAACCCAGTACGGAGGTACATTGACGCTTGAATCAGATGAGTATATAAAGTTTTTTTTAACACTTTATGTATCGAAGAGGAGGCCGCAAGGGAGGGGGGGATGAGAAGTAACTATAGTACTAGGAATACAGATATATATTTCTAGCACTCTAGTATCCCTTTAAATAAGTGTTCATGTGCCTGCCCACTAATGTTAATGAGAGACATGGTTATGCAGACATTATAGTTCTAATGTTATTTTGGGGCACTAAATGGTCACTTTCTATTTACCATAGGGAAAATATGCCACTGACTAGCAGATGTAAAGAGTGTGTACCTCTATCCTCAGTGGCCCACATAATTCAAAGATATATAGTCGGAAGCTGAGGGTGTAGAGGCATACTGTGCAAAAGGGACAGAGTGTAAAGGGAAACTTATAAGAGGTTAAAAACTGTAAGAGTGTAATCAGAATTAAAATATGGAATGTTCATTTATTTGTGCAGGGTCCTCGTTAACATATTGTTCCTGTCAAAATTTGTCATAGTTTGTCTAGTTTGTTGTTAAAGTCTACTTAAGTACTGACCAAAACAAAACCTACAATTACGTGTCTGTTCAACCATGATTTACCTCTTTAATATTAGGTGCCCCCACACTTATCATATATAATTTTGTTCAAGAGAAACAGGGCTTTCATTTCACATCAGATATTTATATATAAAATACTAATCTAAAAAAGTGTGAGAAATTAAGAAATATTTCTCTGCATGGCATTTTAACTGTGAATGTCTTAATACTGTTAACTTTTACTGCAATAAAATGCACATATTTGTATTCTATGACATCCCACGTGTACAAAGATGCTCTCCGTGTACAAGTTTATGCACGCATCTACACACTACATCCACACTGCACACATTGCATGCATAAATATACACACGCATCCACACACACCTACAAAATACACATACATTTACAAGCTTCAAACAGAAAATCTGTCATGCATCTACACATGAACACACAACATTCACACACAGATACACATATGCATCACTACATTTTCACAGTCACATCAAACACACATAAATACACACTTGTATTCTTACATTACATGAATGCATTGGGGGAATATATGCATTTTCACATCACATTCTATATACTTCACAAAGAAGTACGCATATGCATCTCTACACCCTATCTTTGCCTCATGCATAAATATACACATAGCTACACAAACGCCTCCTACACACAACATTTATGTACATAAATGCACACAATCCTTGGCACAAGCAAACACTACAAAGTCTTTACACACAGAAAAAGATGTATACATTTACACACTACCTACACATCTCCAAAAAGGCATGTATTGATTCACATGATGCACACAATTCCATTCAAACAGTGAAAAACACAAAAGAACTCATATATCAAGTCACACACATATACAGTAAAGAAAAAAAACACATGCATATATACTAGACTTGTGCACAGCAAGACATTTCGGCTGAGCCAAATCATTATTTCCGAAAATAATACATTTTTCGGGATACCCAAAGTTTGGTCATTTGTCAGTTTGGCAAGGCAGATATTTGGTACAGAAAATTCCATTAAGGGAACCGAATCAGATGAACCAAAATGGCATAATAATGGGCCAATATATACATATTATAATATTATATATATACATATATTTTGCAGTACACTGATGTGAGCATTTTCCTGCTATCTGGTTCATAGATCAAGTGTGAAAAAGTAACCAATAGAAGGAGAAACAGGTACATTTTGGCTTGAAGTTTGGAAATTTGAATGATCACCCAATCAGGCCAAATCGGGTTGCAGTTTGGACCAAAACAAATCGCTAAGTACAATATATACACAAACATCAGATATGACTATTTGTATGTGGAGATAGTTTTATATAAACCTGGAAAATCTTACTAAAGTTTACGAATATATAGGGAAATGTTTTTTTATTTGTCAGTTAATATTACAAGTTTGTGTCGCTTTTTTGGTACTTCTGACATTGCTAGGACTGTTGGTTAATGACTACATCTTTTTAAAAAGATCGAAGAGCAGTTTCAGATGGAATTCTGGCATTGGGAATTCTGTATCTGGAAACTTCAATACTGAATAAAGTATTTTCAATAGATTTCCTAAATTAGCACATTATAGCTAAAGGAAAAACATCTACAAAGTGCCACTATGATATTTATACGTTAACACAATGTATAGTCATTGCGTAATCTTCTAAGAAATATTAAGCTGTTTTATATCATGACAACAGTGCTTTCATGCCTCACTTTAGATAAAGGTAAATAGAGGCATGGGTAGGCAACATTTCAAATTCTGAATGTACGATGCAGGACCGTATGCCACTTTTTTTTTCCATTAATGTCCATTGAACATGGATTCACACATATATTGTAGTTTTGGATTATGGGTACACTTTGGGTATCAACACAATTGAATTCCCTTTAAATATTTAGCAAATTATATCAGAATCTGTTCAGTCAAGGCAAAGCCAGGGAAAACATTGCAAATCAAGAAGAGAAATTATTAACATTATTTAATTTTTCCAATCTCTACTTGCTTTTTCTATGCTGACTACAAAGTAGAGCTTATTACAATAATTGACAGGAAGCTAAGATGTAGGTGCCCCATTGCAGGATAAAGAGGTGTGGATTTTTACATTAAACTTTATTTTCCACACCTCACAAATACATATCTGTTAAATACAGGAATGAGTAAGCATAATAGCAAAAATCATGAGAAATTATTGTTTCCCTTTAATTGCATTGGATTTGTTTTGGCCTCATACACATGCTTTATTTTTCTCCCTGATCAAATTATTTGGTTTTGCTTAAAAAAAAGTAATATAAATGTTTTTTGCAGTCTGCAACATAACCCCAACCCCTCGCCATGCCTTTTCTCTTTCCTAAAACATACTCCTAAATTGGAAGGTAAATGGTGTATCTCAGCCAATGAGAGATCAATGTGACCTATGTTTCTAGGCTTATTTCTGACTTGCCTCCACAGCCAATCATTGTCCTCATGCTGAGGGGAAGTGGAACAAACAATAATTGGACGTGATTTGCTATGGAGCAGAGTGATGTCAGCAGCTCAGCATACGCTAATCTCTCATTGGTTAAGCGGAGTACTTTTTCTGAGCGTGTCTAATAAACAAGTTGCTTCGTGAAAGAGGGGGCGTGACTAAGAGGGTGGGCTTATGAACTGGAAAGCTAAAATATGCTTTTGTTTATTAGCAAAAATAATGAGATTTGAATTCAGAGAAAAACCATTTTGAATTTGAGACCACTAGTAAATGTTTGTGTTGTGCTTGTGCCTGGAGTATGACTTTAGTGTCCTTTTAATTGATGTGATATTTATGCATGCTGCCCAGAAAATACATTTACACATTATTGCCCACAACAACAACAACAACAAAATCAAATTAAAGTTAGTATTTTTTGGCTTAAGTTTTTTAAAAATTATTTTTGCATCACAGAGGATTTACTATGGTCATTAGAATATCTCCGAAACAGTGTAGAATTATATACAATTGGATTTATTGACAATGAATACAGGAAGAGCAGCCTGTTTGACTTCTGTTCTCTGTTTGAGCTATTACATATAGTCCCTTTCACTAAATAGCTGTTTTAATACTTTTGGTCTGTGGTCATTATGTTGATATTATGCCAAGCACTTAATTTCTAAAAAGAATTTGTAATAAAAAAAAAAAACTATAATAGATGAAACAACCCCAAAAAATAATCAGAATTTAGTGAATTAACCTGCACGTTACATTTAAATTGTATAATTTGGGGCTCCTACATACATACAGGAATTATGTAAAAGTGAAATCTCTCTGGTAATTCAATTTAGTAAACCACAATTTTTTACATTTGTGTTTTGATTTTTTTCCCCCCAGATGCCAGTGATTTGCACAGTAAAAACAAATAAAACATACATATATGCAAATATACAAATATTTGACTCACAAGAATAAGAGAATACACAAAAAAAATGCTTTTTCTATTTTTCGTTAATACCGACTTGTAAGAAATAAGTTTGATTTAACAGCAGGTATTTTTAATTGTTGGCACAAAAGTTTAATATTACAAGAAAATATGTGTCCCTTTTTTCTGCTACACAGATCATGTTCACTCTAAACATATCATATCTCCTTTCACATCTTAATGGCACCCTCTAGTGGCTATTTTGCCAAAACCAAAAACATTTCTACAGTGTTGGCAAAAAAATGAAAAAGTGGTTGGCAAAGAGAGGGTGGATGTTTAGTAAGTATGCATATATCACTAGTATTGTAGTCACATATTGCACAGAGCATGTGATTTTCGAGTCACTAATCTAGGGATTGGTGCTAATTATCAAAGCAATTGGAAATATTGGACCAAAATAGTTCCATCAAAATAATGTCTGTTTTGCTGTACTGGGCTAATATATGATTTTCCTTGTACATTGCCACAATAACATGTTTATTGAATAACAGTGTAAGTGATATAAAATAAATCCAGGTTTTATTTACACAAAAAAGAATATTTATTCAGCAAAAAATTTGATGATCATATAGTTTAAAATATAAATGTTTGCAGTGAGATTCTAGCAAAGAGGGCAAAAATTAGGAATCATTGTACTAATACTAAGCTACAAATTAAGGTAAATTAAAAACAGAATTAGCAAAATGAAGTCAACATTTATGAATTTTTTTTTTAAACTGTCCAGTTCAATGATATCAGCAAAACAGAAATTTTGACATGAATTGTGCCAGTTTTTTGTTTTTTTAAATACTCCAAGACTACAACAATGAGAATCCCATCTTCCTACAAACGCTCGGCCCATCTTTACCATCACAGTTAGACAGAATTGCACTTGATAGATGTAGATGTGTAACTTCTACATTATCAATGCTGATAAAGAGAGAAAGGAAAGAATTTTTTTGGCCAATCAGTGGTAAATCTTTTATTGGATACGAAATGGCAACGTTTCGACACAAAGGAGTCTTTAAAAAACCATGGTTTATGGTTTAATAAAGACTTCTTTGAGTCAAAACATTGCCTTTTCATATCCAATAAGTCTGCTTTGGATTTACCACTGAGTACCTAGACCTTTTTTTATTTTTTTACATGGAATAGAAGTTGTGCCACCTTGGTCTGTGAGGCACATTTGAAGGATCCCAGCATACTCTGCATGAAATACATCATTTATATTTTTACTGCTAAGGAGAGGGCAATTTACAAGTTCTACGAAGAGACTTTGTTTTTGTGAAACTGCTCCTAACACAGATTCATGGCACCATGATTAAAAAGAGTTGTAGTGGTTTTGGTACTTCAGTTTCACTTTAGTTATGCACAGCTTCAGATTTTCACTGTATGTTGTGATGTGGTCCATTGCTTGTACCCAATGGAAACATCAAAGATTGTATGCATCCATGGTGCATGTGTGAAGCACAAGACAATAAGAAAACCATAGTGGAATCTAGTACATTCACTTGCTGGCACCAACAAAGGTCTATAGGCAGCACAACAGCAGATGGATGGTCAGTTATAGGCTGATTTTCATTATTTGGAACTTTTAAATCTCATATTGACTTATCCCTTTGAGTTGGAAACCAAGTTGCAAAACAATAGA